ATCAGAGGCGCGGCTCCGGCGGCTCTTCCCGCTGCGCCTCAGCCCGGAGTCGCAACCCTCGGCGCGGGCCTGCTGTGACCCAGGCGCTCTTTCCAAACCCTGAGGGCCACTTTTGACCGACCCCGCGTGCGGATTGGGGATTGTGCTTCTGTTGCCTTGAAGTCGGGCCGGGGTTCCTGACCCTGGGTGGCCTTTCAGGCACCTGCAGCTGCCCAGCGCTCTCACGGGAGTCCCACGGCCTGGCCCAGGAGCAGCAGCGGGGCGCAGCGACGGCCCCTAGGCAGACCCTGGGGCCGCGTGGAAGGCCGCGGGGCCGACCCCTCACCCGCCTCTGACGCAGGGCTTGGGACACAGGCAGGGCGCCTCCGGCAGCCCCTGGTCAGGGGCGCGAGATCCATTTCTGGGTGTTGGATTTATCGTCAGCCTCTTTCGTTCCACACTTGCTCCACCAAGTTGTCTGGGTACTCGTGACCTGGAAAAAGCTCCCCGACACGAGCTTCAGGCCGACCTGGCCGCGGGGCTGCTTTCGGGACGTCCGTAGACCAGGCAGCGACCAGATCCCCAACAGGGCTCAGCGAAGGAGGAGCCAAGGCCGGCAGAGACGTGCGCTTATTCAGATTCGTTTTCCAAAACTGGACCAAGCTTTGGTTTAAAAGCCTTCCGAGGTGCCGCAGATGAGGCTTCTCTCTGCAGTCTCTCCCTCAAGGGAAGATCCCCCGAATGTGTTTTAGAATAAATCATGAGACTGGTTTGCGGATAACGACTTTATGTCAGGTTAGTATTTCAGAACACAGAAACAGCAACCTAAATCGATACGTCTGTTTTTGAAAAACCAAAGTTGCTTTAATGAAATCTAGCTTTGGGGAACACTCTGTCTGCCAGAGAAATTCAATTAGAAACTTTCTCTCCATGCAAATTTAGAAGCATGACTGGAAGGGGCCTCAGACCCCTCCAGGGCTCTTTCTAAATTCCAAGATGGATTGCCCCTTTCTAATGTAATAAAGATGTTCTGAGTTGATTGAAGATAATTGCATCATTAAAGCACCTTCTTTGAAGGCCTCTCTCCTGGTAGTTTATCTTTAGCAGGCCACTCTTGGGAGTGTTCCAAGAATTTTAATGAGGCAGCCAGCTGCCCCCTCCTGCCCCACATCCACTCAGGAGAAGGAGGCAACTGGGTGGGGAAAATGGGACCTGGGCTGTGGCCTGGTGGGGACATGGTGTTGTGGGGCAGGTGCAGATGCCCACCTCCAGGACAGGTGTCTGAATGGGTGTGTGTCCCTCCTGGCAGGCTGGGCCAGAGATGACCAGGCCCCTGCCTGGCACTGGTTCTTTCCCTGGAGGGAGGGAGGATGTTGGGGTGGAGAGCCCCTGGGCTTGAACCTCAGATCCCAGACCGGAGTGCTCAGCACAAACAGGCCTCCAGCAGCAGCAACTTCCTGGGGTGGGAGGTGGGGCAGGGGATGGTGGGGTGAGAAGGAAGGGATCTCACTTCTGTCAACATGGTGCAGAAACCTGGACCCCAGGTCTAAGGGAGCCTGTCACCGTCTCTGATCACCAGGAGGGACGAAGATGCCAGTGGACACCTGTCTTCCCAGCGGCCCATGAGCAGGTCAGCCAGGCAGAGTGTGGGGACAGGGGGCCAGGCACAGCCTCTGGCAATGGGCCCTGCTTGAGGCTGGTAGGTGCACCCCACACCCCCCGTCCAAAGTGAGTTCCTGAAATAATGGCAAACCCCCAAAACTTCCCCACTCAATCCACACCTGGGTAGGTACTGTCCCCAGTTTGAGTGGCATTGTTCCTACAGTTTGCTCTAAGCCATGAGGGGACAGGAGGCCAAGCAAGGGCCAGGACGCTTTTATTTCCTGTGTTCTGGCGCCTTGTTTTGGTGCTGATTTTATAGGGAGCGGACACATTGTTTGCTTCCAGAATGAATGATGATGACAAACATGGGGGTTCAGAAGCCCTGAGGAGCCTCCTCAGTGGGGTCAGTGTGACGAGATGACACTTGAGAATGGGTTTAGTTTTGTAGGATTTATCCAGCCAAGTTTGGAACTGGGCAGGACTACAAGAGAAATGTTCTCCCTCCTCTTAAAAGCTGGTGGAGGGGAGTGTTTGATGCTGTGGTGGTGAGGTTACGTAGAGCTCATGCCAGACGGTGCTGCAGGACTGAAGGTAACAAACACTGCTGAAGAAAGCGGCTGTCCCTGTTTGGATACCGACAGCAGGTGTCCAGCCTGGATGCTGTGTCTGCGGTGGCATCGCAGTTTGCACCCAGGGTACCACTGCTGGCCTCCCATGGGGGCAGCTGACTAGGGTGTCTTATTCTAGGGCAGGACCACCCAATCCCCTGGGCTCCTTCCAAAAGCTGCACTTCCCAGACAGTGTAATCTCCAGGGGAAAGCCAAGCAGGAAGGGAGCCACCTATTTCTGCCTCATTCTCTGTGTCACTGCCATCAGCTGAGGCCCAGCCAGCCTCCCATTCATCCTGAAAGGCCAGGGCCACTCCCTGCCTCAAAGGCATCTGGGTTGGAGTCTTCGACTTTTTCCTTCTCAACTTATTGGAAACTTGCTTCAAACACAATCGCACTTTACGCATGACCCTAGCCAGAGGGGGACCAGGGGACGGGAGCTCCAGCAGCCAGTGGGTGTAATAAAGGAGGGGCAGGTAGGACATGAGGTCCCCCTCCCCAGGTGGATGCTTTGACATCACTTGGGAGAGGAGCTGCTCCCAGTTGGAAGAGATCTGAGCTGGGAGACCTGTCAGATGAAGGGAGGCTGAGGACAGAAGCCCTGGGACTTGCTCTGCCCACATCTTTCTTTTCCTCCTGTCCCATCTCCATCTTCTCTCCCAATTCACTTTCATACTTACTCTTTACACCCAGGGCTACAAACTTTGCCAAGACTCCTGATGGGGGTAAAATCAGGGGAGAAGCCCCTCTGTGGTGTGACCCCTCCCTCTAGAGCAAAAGATGCATGTCATTTTGTTGAGAACAGAACGACACCCCCACCTCAAGACGTCTGCAGCCTAATCCCTGGGACCTCAGAATGTGACAAAGGCAGGGTTAAGATCGTTAATCAGCTGCCTTGTGCTTGGTGGATATCCTGGCTCATCCGAGGACACTGCCAAATGTGAGGGTCCTTGAGGGGCCAGAGACACAGCAGTGTGGGGAGGACTTGGCCAGCCACGGCTGGCTTCTGCAGGTGGCCTCTTGAGGCCCTGGCTCCCCTAGAGTTTTCATCAGGACCAGCCCAGCCTGCTGACACCTGATTTTGGCCCAGAGAGACCCACTTGGACTTTGGCACCAGACCTGTGCAGTAGTAAGTCTGGGCTGTTTGCAGTTGCTTGTTACAGCTGCGGTTGGAAGCCAGCCTCCCTTCCAAGGCACCTCTTATCACCCCTGCTTCTATGGGAGAAGAAGGTAAGGCTTGGAGAGACGAGAGATGTGGTGAGGTGGAGGTGGGGTCAGATAGGATGGGAACAGCCCTGTGTGACTCGACCTGAGTGTTTTTCTCCGTGCACTACCTGGGGTGGTGGACCTGGCCCTCTATCCAAGGGTCAGAGGCAGCAGGCTCCATGGCACTTGGGACCTTTGCTCCAGTGTCAGCTTTTCCAGAGCCCAGGCTTCCCCAGGGCCTCCTGAGCCTCTCTGCTTCCTCCCTTGTTCTGCTCTGCTTGCCCAGAGCCGTGCTGAGCCCCTCCATGGGATGTGCTCACGGTGCCTCCACATGGCTGAACCAAGACCCAGGTCCTGACCAACCAGACCATGGGATGGAGGGAGGCTGGTG